TGGCCTTCTGGACTTCATGGACCTGAACTATACATTTAAGGTGAAATGGCTAAAAGAATGCTTAAAATCTCCTGGATCATTATGGCATTTCATTCCACATAACATTTTTAGAAATGTTGGAGGTTTACACTTCCTGTTGTCTTGTAGTTACAGTATAGCAAAGTTACCAGTTAAAATGTCTGCATTTTATCAACAGGCATTGTTGGCTTGGAAATTATGTTATTCACATAACTTTTCTCCACATAGGAAGAAATGCACCAATAAACATATTAGAGAATGTTTGTATAATGCGAAGAAAATAACTCCAAGAGGGAAGTTTTTTTGGAATGCTATTTTTGATAATATCACCTGGGATAAAGCGTGGCTTGTTCCTTTTAGGTTTTGTGTTACAAACAAAGTTAGAGAATTACATTTGAAGATATTACGTAACATATATCCATCCAACATGTACATTTCAAGATTCTGTGACACTGATAGAAAATGTAGCTTTTGTAAAACTGAACTTGAAAGTGTTACTCATTTGTTTTATGGCTGTTCATATAGTGCTACATTTTGGAGAGAGCTTGAAAATTATATACTGTGCAAGACAACACACGAAATCAAAATTGAAGGGAAGAACATTATCACTTATTTTGAAACTAAAGAGAAAAAAATATGTGCCATTGTCAATCTTTATATCTTGTTGGGGAAATTCCACATACTTAAATGTAAATTTCAAAACTCAACCCCATCATTTAATTTGTTTTTGATCGAAATTGAATATTACTTAAACTCTCTTAAATTAACTTCCAATAAAAAAGGTTTATCATTGATTGAAATTCATTCAGAAATGTTTAACAAATGAGCTGTCACGACTTTCAAGTACTAAATTATGAAGTCTGTCACCCCCCCCTTTTTTTTATCCTTAATTTATTTATCCTTCTTATTTCATCGTGCTGTATATTGTTACCTTTACTTGCCTTGTATGTCTACTGTTCAGGCTGAACTGGAATGACTGGCTGTTCACTTTGTAATTTCAATAAAGTTTGAAAAGAAAAGAGAAAAAAAGAACTGAGGAGTTGGCAACACTGGCCACTGCTCCTGCAGGTCTTGTGTTGGGATCGATACCAACATCAGCAGTATCGCAATGAGCAAACACTCAAAGTCCAGCTGCTCTCACAGCTGTCTCCTCCTCCTGTCTTTGGCTGAAGGCTGCCTCCAGCAGTCAAATGTAAGCGGACCTGAGGGCAGCATGAACGGACCTCAGCTCAGCGAACTGCCGGACGACTCGGAGCAGCTCAGGCCGTACGTCAGCCGCCTGAGGCGGGGAGCGCTGCGGGCCGGCGAGCTGTCCGCTGTCGGGAGCTTATCCAGCGGCTTTCTCCTCAGGTTTCTGCGGGCCAGAGACTTCAACACGGAGCTCTCCCTCAAGGTAAGAGCCGTCACTGAGAGTCAGGGGAAACATGCTGAAGTTTAGGAGAGTCCAGGAGAGCTCACAGAAACCACACCGTGAGGAAGACGTTTGGTCGTGCTGACCATCATCATCATTCACCCACGTTGAGCTGAGCAGTTCGGTCCTGAGCTGGGCTCGTGGGGAGGCTCGCGGTTGTTTCCAAAATCACTTAGTGTGGAGTGTACACATGGATTAAAATAATATCAGCCTTGTTCTGTGCTAGCCCATCCAATGGTAAAGCTAGCGGCCTCACACGTGATTGAGTTCGCTCCTGTTGTGCAGGTGTGGGTCCACACAAGCTCGGTCGCTGGGATCTTGAACAGCTCATTTTCTGCTGGGTTGGTTCAAATGATCATTTTGTTCCTGCTTTGACAACACGAGCATTTTTGTTTGTCTCTGTCACTGCCTGCGCTGCACTCGCCTTATTATTCTCTTCGTGTCTGACCGCAGTGTGTTTGCATCACAGCAGACGTGCTCCTGCGTGGGCTCTGTCCCGTGTCCTCTTTGGCTTTCAACGATTGCTCCCTGAACAAATGTAAGAAGGTCTGCTGGTTTCAAAGTTTCTGCAGAGCTGTGGTCACGTTGTTCTTCGTGAGCACGTTAAATGAATCAGTGCAGTTTAAAAACAGCGTTTACTTTGCTCCACAGGACAGTTGAGTAATTTCAGGCATGTGGGTCAAAGCTCTGCGTTCAGTCAATCTGACTTTTATCACATAAACACTTCTTTGAATTTGCCTTTGTTTCAGATAAACAGCCGGGTCATAAATGTCTTATTTACTGTTTGTACATTGGTGCAAGGCTATCAGTGCTGACTCACAGCAAGGAGGTCACGGTCGTCTGAGCCTAACGATCGGCTCTGGCTTCTCTGTGCAAAGTTTGCACGTCCCTGTGTGGTCTTTCTCCCAGTTCCAGTTACAGACTGCCAACCTAGTTCCACCTTTACTTATGGTAACTGCAAAAGACTCCATCACACTGGTAATCTGGTTGTTGGCTGTGCTCTGCCCTGCAAGCTCACAGCCAACACTGAATGCAGCAGTCTTCATTTTGTTGTGTTGTGTGGTTGTTTTTGTTGCATGCAGTGATGAAGTATTAACCTTTTAACTACGTGTTTGAACCATGTTCATAGAGTCCTAGGAACTCCCTAATGTCCCCGGGGTGGAGTGGTGGTTCGATCCCTGGACAAGATATTAACCCAGAGTTGCTCTCCATGCATGCATCAGACTATGAATGTGTGTGGATAGAGAGCACTTACATGGGAAAGTGCTTGTGTGAAAAGGTGTGACTGTGTGAGGGAAGTATAAGAATGAGTCCCTCTGTAATGTGTCCTGTACAGCTCTTGCTCAACTACCAGCGGTGGCGAAGGGAAAGTCCTGAGATCAGCAGCTGTCTGTCTCCTTCCTCGGTGCTCGGCCTCCTCAACACGTCGTACCACGCTGTGCTCCCGCAGCGAGACTGCACAGGCAGCAGGGTGCTCATCTACAGGATTGGTCAGTATGCTTGGGTGTGGATGGATTATTGAAAGGGCCTGCTAGGAGCAGCCCCAACGACATCAACACGAGCTACGATAAGCAGGCAAAGCCTCCCTGCTCTGTTTCCTCAGTGATTTAACAGCTTTTAAAAGAAGCTGATCTTAAATTGTTATCTAGTTTTATAGGGTTACACAAATAAAACTAAGATGCTGTTTAATGCTGGTCATTCTCTTTGAGTCGACATTAAACTCATTCAGTCCTGTCACCATAGGACAGGAGCTCTGCTCCATCAGTACGGCCACAGATGAAATCCCCCTCATGTCTGTCACCACTGACCTACTCTCAAACTTGTTTCTCAACATTTTAAACATACTGACAGTAAAGGCAGCCTGCTGGGATGGTACGGAGATGAACTCTTCCTCTTTCAAACATGCGAAAGCTTCAAATAATCAAATGTCCTTCACACACAATTCTAAAGAGGAACAATACAAAAAGGAAACGTGACTGAATGTGCAGAGTAGAAGTTGACGAGCGTTTCAACGGTGCTACGATAACGAGCAGAGACATACGCTGAAACTTCTACTGTGCACGTGTCAGTCCAAAAACGGTTTATTGGCTCTCATTTATTAGCGAGGACTGTCTCGTTTTATTGTATCGTCTCTGACCGCGATGGCTGCACAGTTCCAGGACTGCACAGCACAATTTCAGGGTTTTAGTTGATTTTAAGCTAGATTTTAATGGCAAACATTGGTGTGTTTTGAAAAGTGGCTTTGCTAGTTCATGATGTATAAATGACACCGATTCAGAGATTAGCATATTAACTGTGCTCCACAGGATGATGCTGTGGTCCTTCTTCTGAAATATGTTTTATTCGTGTAGAGTAATGTCTGCTTGTTTGCAGGGCAGTGGAACCCGAAAGACTGGTCAGCCTTCCAGGTATTCAGAGTCAGCCTGATGACATCCGAGATCATCTCAAGGGAGAACGAGACACAAAGGCAGGGCGTGAAGGCCATATTTGACCTCGCGGGGTGGAGTTTGAGTCATGCCCTGCAGATTAACCCTTCGCTTGCCAGAAAGATTTCATCTGTGCTTTCGGTAGGACTGAGATCGAGCTGTGCAGATGACGACCTATCGTTTGTTCTTTAACAACAGAACATGTGTGTTATTATGAATATGTTTACCAGTGTAACAAAACTCTGCACCACACTGAACCGGATGCGTTTTCCTTTCCTTCTGTCTTGAGTCACCCCTCACTTCTTGCAGGCTGTCATGTTAATAATGATTCAGTGTTCTGGCCTGTTGGGACTGAATGAGCTATTAAATATTAATAGTTTTGTTAACACAAGATTTTGCATTCTTTCAAAATTGTTACAAAAGCCTTTAAATGGCCTGGTACATGCCACGCCCCCTTTAGTTTCAGCCCAGCTTGTGCAGGTATCGTTGCCATGGAGAGTGGGCCAGCTGCCTCAGCCAGCTGCTACATTGTATCGAGTTTACAGCTCATCAGCACATGTTGCTGTCATATCTGTAGCTTTACTGGACATGTGGATGACAAAAAAACCTTCCTCAGCAATATCTGAGAGACAGAACAATCCATTAAAGACCTGACACGGTGCCTGAGAGATGGATCTGGACCATCTACTGTTTGCTGAAGCCTCAGCACAACTGGTCCCAGTGAAAGTGTGGCGGTCAACAAGCCATCCTCGAGGAAGAGAAAACGCTGACATGCCAAATTACACAAGAACTGATATGAAAATCAGGAGCAACAGTCCTTATGGAGATGAATCCACATGTGAAGTGTTTGGACCAAACAGAGGAGATACTGAGTAAAAGACGGTGGAGGGTCTGTCAGGGTTTGGGATGGTGTTGGGCATCCTGTCAAAACTGATGGAATTGTGAATCTGGACAGCTACTGTCAGATGTTGGAGTTCCACCTGGAAAGCGTCTGATTTGCAACCTTTTCAGCATGATGATGATACCAAGCAAGCATTCCTGGGTAGAAACACACAATGGAACATGACCGTCCTGGACTGGCCTCCCAGAACCCAGACCACAATGACTGAGGTAGAGTGGGAGAGAGTGGAGATTTAGAATTCAAGGAGCCTGTAGAGTTATTCCTGAAGACTGCTAATTACAAGAAAGCTGCCCGAGAGTTCGTGTTGAAAATTCAAGGTGGTCATGCCAACTTTGACTTTCCAGCTTGTTAGAATTGAGCAAACTCTGTTTATGCCTGATATGTGCGTGCGTGCAGATCTTTGAGGAAACGACTGCACCTATTTCTCCTTTTCCTTTCAAAATGGAAAAAAGGTGACTCAAGACAGTTTTTTTGTTTGTTTTTACAGCGACCCTTTTCTATAGAAATGTCCTTAAAAAGCTTAAACTGAAGGCCAAATGCTTGTTAGAGACTTCCTGTGAAAGGTAGCATCTTATAGCTCCTAAAACTGCTTATTTGTAACTCAGTCGTAACCTTGCCCCTAAGGGACCGGCTGGAAGTTCAGAGGTAGAACTTTGATGTGCAGAGTTTCCTGTATTTTTATATTTTTAAGTTTTCAACTTGTTAAATGTGCTTTGATGCTTGTTTATGTGTATGTTCAGGACTCTTTCCCACTGAAGGTCAGAGGAATCCACCTGGTCAATGAACCGATGTTCTTCCGTCCGGTCTTTGCTATGCTTCGTCCCTTCTTGCCTGATAAAATCAAGCAGAGGGTCAGTACCCGCGCTACCTCACGTACTGGTTATACTGAAGATGACAGATAACAACTGTGGATTTGAAACATCCTTTCACCCTCTTTGTTGTAGATCCATATGCACGGTTCTGATTTCCAAGATTCTTTAAGTGGCTTCTTCTCATCACACGTTCTGCCTCCAGAATATGGAGGGCATGGGCCTGGAATAACACAAGTGTGTCAAGGCTGGACCAATCACCTGCTTCAATCAGAGAACCTCCTGCAGCAGATTGCTGCCCACCCAACGGGTGACATCACAATGACCCCTGATGACTGTTTGATCACAGAGGAAGGCGGGGCTCTGTGAAAGATGATGATTGGACGTTTGGGTGGCTGACTCGCGTATACGTGGCGGGTTTGTGCACATGTCTACGGTCTCTGCAGTGCTTGTTGTGGAAGTTGGCTGAAGTGAGAGAGCTGAAAACGAGATCCTTAATGGCCGTGCTGTTTCATGTTTACGCCACAGCCGACCAATCTGGAATTTTTAAGAACAATAACAATGCTGATATTATTATGTCATGATTTTAAAATCATATTTTGATCAATCTGCTGCTTTTGTTTCTGTTATCATTTTTTATTTGTTACATTACTCACATCATGTTATAAGTAGTTATTTATTTATTTAGCCTCTGCCCAACTCAGCTATAATCAGCTGATTGTTGTTTCCCAGACAGTTTTAAACCTTCCCTCTGGCACCAGGAACAAATCACCACCGAGCTGACATGGGCCCAATCACTGAGGCTTTATAGTGAATGCTTATGGTTTTACTCAGTTTTTCAAGCATTTAGGAGCTTGATGTAAGTATCTGGGAATAGTGCTGTGTTGTAATTTCATCGTCATATTAATGCTGCTCCGGGACCATCACTGTAAACGATGAGTCACGCTGATGTTTAGTCAAAGGATCCTGCAATAAAAAGCTCTACTCTTAGTGTTGTGGAAGGTGTAAAAGTAGGGCAACAAAATCTGTGTCAGTCACACTGCATACATGGGATCAACCGGTCCGAGGCCCAACCCCCGGGCCTCGGACCGGTACCGGTCCGTGAGTCGTTTGGTACCGGGCCGCGAGAGTTGAGGCTCAGATGTGAAATGTCTGGTTTTCAGGGTCTTTGTCGGTTTTCAGCGTTATTTTGTTATCGTTTTGATCGTTTACTCGGTTTTCCTGGCTCTTTCCACGTGTGTTATGAATAAATTTTCTTTTTTTCGGTACCGGTACTGGTTTTATTTTGTTGTATTTATCCGCGACACCTTAAAGGCCGGTCCGTGAAAATATTGTCGGGCATAAACCGTCCGTGGCACAACAAAGGTTGGGGACCGCTGATGTAGACGGCTTTGGTCTCGGTGCTTTATAACAAAGGCACATTAACTCGCTCATCTAGATTCTAGTAAGATTTAAAGAAAGCTGCCAGCTCGGCCTTGCTGAACATCCCCAACATGTTCATGTCATTTGTTACCTTTTGGATAACTTCATATGTCAGGTATTAATGGCTCTCAGCTATACGAGTGTGCAAAGGTTTCAGGCAGCTGTAAACAAAGAACTTTACTGGCCTTAAATGTATTCTGCAGAAGGACAACGAGCCAAAGTCATCAAGAACTGTCTTCAGTGTAAAGAAGAACCTGAAGTACTGAAGTGAGGGTGTGGCCCCCACAGAGCCCTGATCCCAACATCACGGAGTGTCTGGGATTACATGAAGGATGTGAGGAAGCTGCATCCACAGAAGAGCTGTGCTGAGTTCTCTGAGATGTTTGGATCAACCTACCAGCCGAGTTCCTTCAAACTGTGCACGTGGACCTAGAAGAAGGCAAAGGGCGGTCCCACCAACATGGATGTGATTCTCTGTTGATGGATGTTGATGGACATTTTGTTGATGGATGAAAATAAATGGTAACACTTTTATTTTTGAAAGCGTTCTTTGTCACAGCAGCGTTTTCTTTATCACAGGTCCGTGAGCTGCATGCTGACAGCCCTGTGTTAGAGCACATTTAATCTCTGATAAATAATGTACCTTTGGTTTGTGCCTCAGTGTCAAGGTTTCACTGTTCGCAGGAACGACTCTGTGGTCATCAGACACGATGGTGTTCAAAGTGCTGATGCTGGAAACCAGTGGAGGTATGATGCTGATGACATCCACTATTTATATACAGTATATGACAGACACACACACACACACACACACACACACACAGGCTGTCAGACTGTGGACACTGGGCCAAACCTCAGAGGGGACAAGCCTCCCTCTCTTGGCCTTGTAGGCAAAATATATATAAAAGCCACAGTTTGTAATATGCTTGGCTCAAAACTTGTAATATTTTTAGCACTGATGGCATTTTTAGTATTGTATGCCACATGTTCTGACAAGTAAACGATGCAGATTTGTGAAAATATAAAGGGCTCCAAATATCATTGAAAGTGTTCTTTAGACTCATTAACGTCTGAGGTTTTCTGTGTCAGGCTCAAATCCATCTAACACAGTGGTTCTTAAGCTTGTTGGAGGAGCGAGCCCCACCAGCTTCATATG